TTGTACTGTGTTCTGTAGCACAGGACAGGGGCTTTCTGCTCTGAGGCAGGCCCTGAGATGCAGGCAGCACAGAAGGAGGCCAGTAACTGCTCTGAGAGTAGACTGTGAACTAGAGAAATCCTGCTTCCTTCTGAGGAGTGCCTGGAGGATGTGCTTAGGCTCTGCACACAGCAAGGTTGCCAACATGGGCAACCCATGCCTTATGCTCCTGTGTTCTCAATGGCAACAGAAGGGCCTAGCTGGAGCTTTTGCCAGGGACATGCAGTGTTCTGCACCGCTGAGTGGAGTTGGAGGTGTGTGTCTCCTTGTACAGTGCAGCTCAGCTGGTGGTCCGGCCACTCGCCCACAGTGATGTGGTGGGGGCTGAGGAGAGCGAGGCAGTGCACAGCCATGAGCACCCCCTGCAGAAACCAACATCCTTGCTGTTCCAGATCAAAACCTGTACAAAAGATGAGGGCTGAGGTACCAGGTCTGTGACACTAGGGCTGTCGCATTCCCCCAAAAGCACAAAATCAAGATTAAAAAAACAAAACACAAGATAGTGAAAAGAAATGTTTCAAGGAGGTTCCCTTACTTAAAATCATAGAATGGTTTGGATTGGAAGGGACCTTCAAGATCATCTAGATCCAACCCCCCTGCATGGGGAGGGACACCTCCCACCAAGCCTCATCCAGCCTGGCCTTGAACACCTCCAGGAATGGGGCTTCCTCCTCATAGCAGGGAGGTTGGAACCTGATGATCTTCCAACCTTCACCATTCTATGGTTCTATGATTTAAAGTAAGATGCATTTTGGTGGGGGCCAAGTCTGTGAGAAGAAGATGAAGTTTTTGTATATGTTGTTAAATAAAAAGTGTTGACAAAAGCACTGGGTCAAAAATATAATTATGATTCCTAGTTCCCATGTCAGCTTATTTTTTGCTGTATCCTCATGCCTGTCATTTGCATAGCAAGTACAGTATTTCAGAGGACCAAGAATCTGGTAGGAGACAGGCACCTTCCCTAGTTTGTTTCTCATCATTTGTATATTACAACATTAATATTTTTTGCCTTTACACTAATCTTGGCTAATTTGTTTGATTCATTTGTTCATTCAATAAAATGAAAAAGAGAATGGGGCCTTACCATGAATGACCCCCAGTGCAGGTGTCTATGGCAGGAGTTACTAGACTTGGTAAGAGGCAATTCCCACTTAGGAGTTGCTGCCACCAGCTTCTGCACAGCTGAGCTGGCAGTAGCTCCAGCTGCAGACACAGCACATGTCCCTTCCCTGGGCAGCAGAGCCCCAATATGGCATGTAGGG